GGGGAGGAGGAGGGGGAGGAGAGGAGAGGGAAGGAGGGAGGAGAGGAGGAGGAGGAGGAGGAGGAGGAGGAGGAGAGGAGGAAGAGTAGGAGGGGGAGAAAGAGGAGGGGAGGAGAGAAAAAAGAAAAAAAAGAGGGAAAGAAAGAAGGAAAGGAAACAGACAAAAATAACGATGCTCAGAGAGGACACAAACGGAGCAGGAGGGAGCAAACAGGAGCCAAGCAGCAGGAGAGAAACAGCAGAAAAAGTGAAAGTAGAACATCCTAAGCAGACACACAAGGAGAGAACGGCGAAGCTTGTGAGATGAGAGCGACTGTGTTATGGAACATGCATATATGTATATCTTTGGGGCCTGTCTGTCTGTCTGTCTGTTGGTCTCCCTCTCTCTCTCTCTGCTTCTTTCTCTTTGTCTCGGTCTCTTCCTCTGTCTGTGTTTGTGTCTCTCTGGCTCTACATCTGTCTATCTTCCTGTCTTTCTTGTGTCTATCTCTCTCTCTGTGTTTTTATTTATTTGTTTGTTTATACGTTTGTATGTATAAATGCATACACATCGTATGTACGTATATGTACGTGCGTGTTTATGTGCGTTTATGAAGCCATGATGCGCATGTACATCCAGCATCTACTCTCACGTATACCTTTTTTTTTGGTGAAGTTAATCTCTCTGATTAATCTTTTTTTTTATTATTATTACCGAGAAGTGCTTTCAGGTTTCCGGAGCTCAGCAAATCCCGTGTAATTTTAGCCGACACAAAACAATCCGCTATTCGAGCATCACCGGTGTGTGTGTGTGTGTGTGTGTGTGTGTGTGTGTGTGTGTTTGTGTGTGTGTGTGTGTGTGTGTGTGTGTATGTTGTGTGTGTGTGTGTGTGTTTGTGTGTGTGTGTGTGTGTGTGTGTGTGTGTGTGTGTGTGTGTGTGTGTGTGTGTGTGTGTGTGTGTGTGTGTGTGTGTGTGTGTACATACGCGCGTGCGTGTGCACTTCCTATACAAAAGCCAGCCGTCCTGATATACTGAGGTAATTTTGCAAACTAATTAATAGGGAAAAGCTAGAATTAGGATACAACTGACCACGACAATTGGCATAAACAGGCACGTGACAAATTTCAGGCGGTACTGAAACGGAGAGAAGTGATAAGCCAATCAGCAAGCGTGTTACTGATCATTCTAGCCAATCACAGTTACTGATTATCGAAGCCAATCACGGTCGCAGCTTTCCACCATCCCAGCCAATCCACGCTTACTAACCATCCCAGCCAATCAGGATCACGCTTACTAACCATCCCAGCCAATCAGGATCACGCTTACTAACCATCCCAGCCAATCAGCGGCTGACGATGGGATTTCCCGCCACCCTGTCACTCTTGTTTACAAATTCAGTTCAATTTATTTTGCACTTTCATTTTTTTTTTATCCTGTCTAACTTCCATGACGAAAACAACGCGAATCTAAATCTAAAAACAGCAACTTCACACACACACACGCACCACACACACACACACACACACACACACACACACACACACACACACACACACACACACACACACACACACACACACAACACACACACACACACACACACACACACACACACACACACACACACACACACACACACACACACACACACACACACACACACACACAACACACACACACACACACACACACACACACACACACACACACACACACACACACACACACACACACACACACACACACACACACACACACACACACACACAATTCTATTTTCTTCTTCCTCCCTTCCTTTTTTCCACTTCCCCCGCCTCTCTTCTTCCCTCTCTCGCTCCCCTCTTCCAACCGCGCGCACGCGCCCCTGCACCACACTCGTCGTCAAAATGGATTTCGTCACCTTATTTTCCAAGTGGCCCCCCCCCCCCCCACCCCACCTTCCTGTTTCCCTCTTCTCCTCTTGGTTGTGGTGTTTCGCTTCCCCTTTCCCTCGTCCCTTGTGGCTCTCTGTCTCTGTCTGTCTGTCTCTTTTGATCTCTCTCTCTCTCTGTCTGTCTGTCTCTCTCTCTCTCTCTCTCTCTCTCTCTCTCTCTCTCTCTCTCTCTCTCTCTCTCTCTCTCTCTCTCTCTCTCTTTCTCTCTCTCCCTCTCTACCCCTCTTCATCGTCCCTTCCCTCCTTCCATTTCCTCCCCCCTCTGTTCCGGCCCCCCCCCTTCCTCGTCCCCCATACCTTCCATCCTCATATCTTCCCCCTTTATTCATTTTCCTAACCTCCTTTCCCCCTTCCCCCTTTTTCTTGGTCCCTTATTCCCCTTCTTCTCCCTTCCCCCTTCATTTCCCTCCTTCCATTTTCTTTCTCCCCTCCCCCTTCGTCTTGGTCCCTCCCCTCCCCCTCCCTTCATTTCCCTCCCTTCCTCCTTTCGCTCCTCCCTCCCGCTTCCCCCTACTTCTCCTCCTCCTTCCGACACCTCCTTCTTTCTCCCCCTCCCCCCCCCCCCCCCCCCCCGGTTCATTTCCCTCCCTTTTTTGCTCCTCCCCTCCTTCCCCTCCCCCCCCTTAGTTTTAGTTTCCTACCGGATCAAAGGCACTGCTCGCACCCCCCTCCCCCCCTCTCCCCCCCCTCCCCCCACTTCTCTCCCTCCGCGAGAAAAACAAGCATCTTGTCAACTAAGGGAAACTCTCCGGCCTCGCACGCCATTCCCGTCCTTATTTCCCCCCGACAACAAGGGCGAAATTAGCCTGAGGAGAGGCCGAGGCATATGTCCCAGCGCCGGGGAACTTATTTGAAGCGAAGACGGGAGGAATCGGTCTGTGGGGCGCGGTGGGCGGCGGTGGGCGGGCGGGATGGGCGTTGGGGAGGGCTCGCGCGCACGGGACCGCCCGGGTTGCCACCGCCACTTACCACTTACAGAAGCCCTTCCTTCCCTTTCCCCCGCCCACGCTGGCCTACTTACACTTATTTCATTACTTGTAGCAGCCACTTACAGGCGCCGCCTTTCCCACTTATTGCAAATATCATTACTTATACCAACACTTCCCCCCCCCCGGCTCACACCCTTTTTCGATGCCACTTACAGACACTACCCGAGAGACAATAAGTAGTGAGTGGAAGTGGAAGGGGAAGTGGAAGTGGAAGTGGAAGTAAGTAGAAGTAGAAGTGGAAGTGGAAGTGGAAGTGGAAGTGGAAGTGGAAGTGGAAGTGGAAGTGGAAGTGGAAGTGGAAGTGGAAGTGGAATTGGAATTGGAATTGGAATTGGTGGAAGAAGGAAGTGGAAGTGGAAGTGAAGTGGAAGTGAAGTGGAAGTGCAAGTGCAAGTGCAAGTGCAAGTGCAAGTGCAAGTGCAAGTGTGCAAGTGTGCAAGTGCAAGTGCAAGTGCAAGTGCAAGTGAAGTGGAAGGAAGTGGAAGTGTGAAAGTGCAAGTGCAAGTGCAAGTGCAAGTGGAAGTGGAAGTGGAAGTGGAAGTGGAAGTGGGAGTGGAAGTTCCTCGCGAGAAATCATGGTTTTTGGCCAGAAACTCCTATTGAAACTCCAGAGACTTCTATTGTTGTCTGAATAATAATAATAAAATTCCAAAAGCAATTGCACACGCTGAGAAAGGAGAGGAAGAGGGTGTGTGAGACAGAAAGGGAGGAGAGATAAAAAGAGAGAGAAAAAGGGAGAGTGAAAGAGAGAGAGAGAGAGAGAAAGGGAGAGAGAGGGAGAGAGTGAGAGTGAGAGATAGAGAGAGGAGAGAGAGAGAGAGAGAAAGGAAGAGAGAGGGAGAGAGTGAGAGTGAGAGAGAAGGGAGAGAGGGAGGGAGGAGTGAGAGAGAGAGGGAGGGAGTGAGAGAGAAAGGGAGAGAGAGAGAGAGAGGAGGGGAGAAAGAGAAAAAGAGAGAGAGAGAGAATAAACGAAAAAAAAAAAACGGAAAGAAAATAAAGTAAACAGGAAAGAAAATAGAAAATACACACAAAAGAGACAAGAAAAGAGCTTTGTAAATCTACAAGCAGCTTCCACTTTTGCTCACCTCTTACGTCGGCCCTGCGTGTGGGTCCTCAATCCTGCCTCATGAATATGGACCACTTAACCCCTCCACCCCCCCCTACCCCACCCCTTTGCCCACTTCCACTTCCACTGTCACTTACAACTATCTCCTAAGTTATTTCCTATCTATACTACTCCTTATAGAAGCCTCCTTATCCCCTTTTGGTAAACTTACACTTATTAACATACAGTCGCCGATTTTTCGACTTATATCACCACTTATTCTATTACTTACATTACCCTCTGTTTCACGCCCACTTATCTGCCAAGCCATATTACTACTACATGTAGCATCCCCTCCACCTCTGCCCTACTTACAATTATTTTATTACTTATATCATCGCTTACAGCCGCCGCTTTTCCGACCCTCGCTTATGTTATTACTTATAACGCCCCCTGGTTCCCACTTATGCTGATACTTACAGAGGCTTTCCGAGTGACTGCAAGTGGTAAGTGTATATAAGTGTCAAAGAGACATGAACGACGGGCAGATATCGGTCCCTTTCCCCTTTTACGCTATACCTTGATTATTATTTTTGCCATCCCCTCTCCTTCCCTCTTCTCTTATCTTTCCGCATACCTTGATCAACATTATTTTTTATCCGTTTATACCTTGGCCATATCTTTTCGCCATCCCTTCTCCCATCTCCTTCTCTCTCTCTTCTCTTTTCGCCATCCTCTCTCCCTCCTTCTCCTTCTCTTATCTTTCCGCCCTTGATCAACATTATTTTTTCGCCGTCCCTCTCTCCCCTCCCCTTCCCCTCTTCTCTTATCTTTTCGCCATACCTTGATCAACATCTTTGATTTCTTTCATCATACTTCTCTCCTCTCCACTTATATTTCTCAATACCTTTCCCCCTCTCCTTTATTTTCGCATTATCTTTCTCTTCTCCTCTTCCCTTTTCACCATACCGTGATCAACATCTTTATTCGTCGCCACACCCTTTTCCTCTTCACTTGCTTCTTCCCCCTTACCTCCTCCTCTCCCTCCTTCGTCTTTAATCTACTTCTCCCTTATCGAATGTGGAAAGGTATGAAAGAGAACGAATATCTTCACAATACAAGAGATATATATTCGTTCTCGTTCATACCTTTCCACATTTGTCAACGTGAATACGGTTCTTCTCCCTTTATCATTCGGACATACATCTCAACCCTTCTCCCTTTAACTCTCCCCGCCCCCAACTGCTCTCAGAAGAATAAACAAAACGAAAAACACAAAAATAAACAAAACGAAGCAGGTATTTACTCCGACTTTCTCGACGCTGGAACAAACAGGTCCGGGATGCCGAGAGACTGACGGATGAGGTCTGGATGGCAGAGAAGGAGAAGAGGAAGGGAGGGGGAGGAAGAGGAGGGAGGGAAGAGAAGGGAGAGGATGAAGGGGAGGAAGGGAAGGGAGGAGGAGGAAGAAGTGGGAGAGGGTTAAAGAGGGTGGGAGGAAGAGGAAGGGAGGAAGGGAAGGGGAGATAGAGGGGAAGGGAAGAAGAGGGAGAGGGTGAAAGAGGATGGGAGAGGGAGAGGGTGAAAGAGGGAGGGAAAGAAAGAGGAGGAATGGTAGAAAGGGAAGGGAGAGGAAGAGGGAGAGGAAGAAAAGGGAGGAAGGGAAGAAGAAAGGAGGGGAGGAAGAGAAGGAAGAGGTGAAAGGAAGGGAAGAGGAAGAGGGAATGGAAGAGGGGAAAGGAGAACGAGGAGGAAATATAGAAGAGGGAGAAAGAGGGAAAGGAAGGGAAGAGAAGAGGGAAAGGAGGAAGAGAAGGAAGAGGGGGAAGAGGAGAAGAGAAAAGTAAAGACAGAGGAAGAGGGGGAAAGGAGAAAGAGGAGGAAAATTAGAAGAGGGGGAAAAGAGGAAAGGAGAGGAAGAGGAGGGAAAAAGGAAGGGAAGAGAAGGTAGGAAGTGAGGAAGAGGAGGGAAAGGTTAAGGGAGAAAGGGAGGGGGAGAGAAAAGAAGAGAAGACTGACGAATCAAACCTGAATTACAAGGGAGGGAGGAAAAGGAGGGCAGGATTAAAAAGAAGGAAGAGGAGGAAAAGAAGGAAAGGAAGAAGGGAAGGGAGGAAGAGGAAGGAGGAGAGGAAGAGGAGGGAAAGTAAGAAGAGGGAATATAAAGAGGGGGAGAGGAGGAAGTGAAGGGAAGTGGTCGAGGGAGCAAACAGGTTCGCGACGCCAAGAGACTGACAAATGAGATCTGAATTGCAGTCGAAGGGAGGAGGGAAGGGAGGAGAAGAGGAAGGGAGAGGAAGGGAAGGGAGGAGAGGAAGAGGAATAGGAGGAGGGAAGGGAGGAAGAGGAAGGAGGGAAGAGGAAGGGAGGAGAAGAAAGAAGAAGAAGGGAGGGAAGAGGAGGGAGGAAGAGGAAGGGAGGAAGAGGAAGGGAGGAAGAGGAAGGGAGGAAGAGGAAAGGAGGAAGAGGAAGGGAGGAGGAAGGAGGAGGAGGAGGAGGAAGAAGAAGAGGAAGAAGAAGGGAGGAAGATGTAGGAAGGCAAGATGGGGGGGGGCGGGAAGTGGAATAGGAAAAAAGCGAAGGGAGGAAGAGGAAGGGAGGAAGAGGAAGAAAAAGCAGGAAGCGAGAAAGAGAAAGTAAGGAAAGAGAAGAGAAGAGGAAGGGAGGGATGGGAGGAAGACCCTCGCGAAACTAGCCAACGCAAATCCCACTGAACTGAACAGAACATCCTTCTCCAGACTCACTTCAACCGACCAGCTGCAGCTCGGGGCAGCCACTTCGACTTCCCTCTCGATCTCCACTTCACCAGCTGCACCTCGTCCTCACACGGGGGGGGGGGGTGCATGCGTACACTTACGCTTCACAGAGAGATATGGACAGTTAAGTGGGTGAAAATTATCTATTTACTATAAGGTGATGAGATGAGTTTTTTCTCTCTCTCCTTCTCTTTCTGCTTGCTCTCTCTCTCTCTCTCTCTCCTCTCCTCTCTTCTTCCTTTTTCTATCCACCCTCCCTCTCTAACTTAGTACCTCTCCATCTTTCCCTCCCTCCCTTTCTCTCTCTCTCCCTCTCTCGCCCTTTCACCTGTTCTCTCCCTCTCTCTTCTTTCAGTCTCCCTTCTATCCACCCTCCCTCTCTCACCAGCATCTCCATCCTCCCCCCCCCCCCCCGTTTTCTCTTAGTTCCCACAGCAACATTAATCTCGAATATGCAACAAACGAAGCTTCATATCAAATAAACTACATTATTTTTATCCTCACTGTCCATCACCTTCGTCGCTGCATTTGCTTCACACGGCATATCCCGGAGATGGACAAGGCGTGATGCTCATTTCATCTCGTCTCACGCAGCTTCTCTCTCTCTCTCTCTCTCTCTCTCTCTCTCTCTCTCTCTCTCTCTCTCTCTCTCTCTCTCTCTCTCTCTCTCTCTCTCTCTCTCTCTCTCTCTCTCTGCGTCTCTCTGGTTTTATCTCCTCTTTTTTTTATGTCTGTTTCTATTTTTTTTTTGTTCTTTTGTTATTTTTTGATTAGTTTCGTTCTCTTTCTTTATCTATTTTATGTCTGTTTTATGCCTCCCTTCCTCCTCTCCTCTCCTCCTTCCTGCCATCCGCTCTCTTTTTCTCTCTGTCTCTGTGTCTAAAGGAGAGAAGGAGTAGTAGAAAAAGAAGAGGAAGGAGGAGAGAATGAAAAAAGAGGAGAGCGAGAATTGAAAGAGAGTGAGGTAAGAAAATAAAGGATCTTCATAGACAGGGGTATAATGGTACACACATGCATACGTACACACACACACACACACACACACACACACACACACATCAACATGAGAAAGAGAGAGCGAGATCTGAAGGAAAATTGAATATGAAAATGAATTGGGGATCAGAGGAGAGGAGAGAGAAATTAAGAAGAATGAAAAGGATAACGAGAGAAAAGAGGAGCGGAGAGGAGTAAACTAAGATAAAGAAGGCGGAAGAAAACGCGAGAAGAAGAAATAAGAGAAAAGAAATACAAAAAATGGGTAGGGGGGAAAACGAAAGAAAATGGAAGAAGAGAGAAGTGAAATAAGAAATTTAAAGGCGAGTAAACGAGAGAACAGAAATAAAGGAGAATAATTCGTTTAAATAAATGCGAGCCAACGAAAGAAAGAGCCGAGAAGAGGCGAAGGGAGCCCGGCTCTTCCCTCTCGCTCTCTTTAACGCACAAAGGGACTTCAAGGAGAGGGTGAAGCGCCTTGCGGGAGTGAGGATAATGAGGCGAATGGGAGGGAGGCCTTTGTCTCGCTTCCGGGGCTTCCAGGCTTTCGTATGAGAGGGGGCCTTTGTCTCGCTTCCGAGGCTTCCCGGGCTTCGTATGAGAGGGAGGGCTTCGAGCTTCCAGCGGGGCTTCGTATGAGAGAGAGGCCTTTGTCTCGCTTCCGAGGCTTCTCCGGGGCTTCCAGCGGGGCTTCGTGTGAGAGGGAGGCCTTTGTCTCGCTTCCGAGGGGGCTTCGTATGAGAGGGAGGCCTTTGTCTCGCTTCCGAGGCTTCTCCGGGCTTCGGGGCTTCGTATGAGAGGGAGGCCTTTGTCTCGCTTCGGGGCTTCTCCGGGCTTCGTATGAGAGGGAGGCCTTTGTCTCTTCGAAGCGGGGCTTCGTGTGAGAGGGAGGCCTTTGTCTCGCTTCCGGGGCTTCCAGCGGGGCTTCGTATGAGAGAGAGGCCTTTGTCTCGCTTCCGAGGCTTCTCCGGGGCTTCGGCGGGGCTTCGTATGAGAGGGAGGCCTTGTCTCGCTTCCGAGGCTTCCAGCGGGGCTTCGTATGAGAGGAGGCCTTTGTCTCGCTTCGAGGCTTCTCGGGGCTTGCTTCGTATGAGAGGAGGAGCGGGCTTCGTATGAGAGGGAGGCCTTTGTCTCGCTTCCGGGGCTTCCAGCGGGGCTTCGTCGGGAGAGCTTCGTATGAGAGGGAGGCCTTGTCTCGCTTCCGAGGCTTCCGGGGCTGCTTCTATGAGAGTGAGGCCTTTGTCTCGCTTCCGGGGCTTCCAGCGGGGGCTTCGTATGAGAGGGAGGCCTTTGTCTCGCTTCCGGGGCTTCCAGCGGGCTTCGTCGGGACTTCGTATGAGAGGAGGCCTTTGTCTCGCTTCCGGGCTTCCAGCGGGGCTTCGTCGGGAGAGCTTCGTATGAGAGGAGGCCTTTGTCTCGCTTCCGGGGCTTCCAGCGGGGCTTCGTCGGGAGAGCTCGTATGAGAGGGAGGCCTTTGTCTCGCTTCCGGCTTCCAGCGGGGCTTCGTATGAGAGCTTCGATGAGAGTGAGGCCTTTGTCTCGCTTCGGGCTTCCGCTTCGTATCCTTCTCGCTTCCGGGCTTCCAGCGGGGCTTCGTCGGGAGAGCTTCGTATGAGAGTGAGGCCGCCGGGGCTTCCAGCGGGGCTTCGTCGAGGGAGCTTCGTCTGCTGGACCGCGGATTGTGAAGCCTTTAGCCGCCTCGGTAGCGCTTCTCGTTCTGAAGTGAAGCGGGCGAAGGGAAGCACTCGTGGACAGGGGTGTAATGGTGCACATACATTCAGCGCATACGTACATACACACACATTTGCATGCCTACACACGTGCACAGATACACACACACACACCTACACACACACACACACACACACACACACACACACACACCCACCACACACACCTACACACACACACACACACACACCTACACACACACACACCTACACACACCTACACACAGACACATATTTATACACGCTCACGGACGCACACATACAAACGTGATCATACCTAAAAGGTCTGCTAAGCTACATACGATGTGTATTGTTCCGGAATAATCTTCCTTAATCGGGGAATTCGGAACAATAGAGAATACTTAACAAAAAAGCTGATAATTAATGAATTCTGAAAAATATTTCATAATTCCGAAATGTTAAAGGAACAAACTGATTGGCGTTGCTGTGTGAAAGGGGAAAGTTGCAAAAGTTGCATCAAATTCTCATTTTGGAATTTTTGTTTGTTTTCCTCCTCTTGCTTCGATTGTTCCTCTTCCTCTTCTTCGCCTTTTCCACTTCCTCCTTGCCCTCTTTTTCTTTTTCTCTTCGTTTTTTACTTTTCCTCCTGCCTCCTCCTCTTTCTCCCGTCCTCCTTCTCTTCGTTTTGCCTTCTCTCATTTCTCTCCTCGCCCTCCTCGTCTTTCTCCTCCTCCTCCTCGTCTCTCTCCTCTTTCTCCTCGTCTCTCTCTTCGCCCTCCTCCTCCTCTCACTCTTCGCCCTTCTCCTCTTCTCTCTCCTCTTCCCCCTCGTCTCTCTCTTCGCCCTCCTCCTCCTCTTCTCTCTCCTCGGCCTCCTCCTTTTCCTCTTACCTCCCCCACTCCCCTCCTCCAACTCTTCCTTCCTCTCCTTTATACAATCGGGTCTTGACATTTCACTTATCTTTCACCTCCTTTCACAACGACGCCGAGATAAGAAGACCACTGATGTCTTTCCTGAGGGACTCCGAGCCCAAAGTCAGAGGCGAGAGTAAATTGTGAAGTAAAAGAAGTCCTTTTCGAAGCTAAGTGGGGGCCGGAATGTGAGTGAGAGAGAGAGAGAGAGAGAGAGAGAGAGAGAGAGAGAGAGAGAGAGAGAGAGAGAGAGAGAGAGAGAGAGAGAGAGAGAGAGAGAGAGAGAGAGAGGGGAGGGAGGAAGGAAGGGAGGGAGGGAGGGAGGGAGGGAGGAGGGAGGGAGGGGGAGAGGAGAGAGAAGAGAGGAGAGAGAGAGAGAGAGAGAGAGAGAGAGAGAGAGAGAGAGAGAGAGAGGAGAGAGAGAGAGAGAGAAGAGAGAGAGAGAGAGAGAGAGAGGGAGAGGAGAGAGGGGAGGAGCGAGAGGGAAGAGAGAGAAGGAGAAGAGAGAGAGAGAGACGAGAGAGAGAGAGAGAGAGAGAGAGGAGAGAGGAAGAGAGAGAGAGAGGGAGGGAGAGAGAGAGGAGAGAGAGAGAGAGAGAGAGAGGAGAGAGAGAGAGAAGAGAGAGAGAGAGAGAGAGAGAGAGAGAGAGAGAGAGAGAGAGCTAAAACGAAAAAAAACGAAAAAAAAAAACGGCGGCGGTGGTGTTGCGCGCTATATCTAAAACAATTGCTGGCGGTGGTGCGCGCAACATCGCAAGTAAGTACTAGTGGTGTTGCGCGCAAAATCTAAACCAAATGTTGGTTGATTGCGTGCGAAGTCTAAACAGCTGCTGTTACCGTGTGCAAAAATCTACCTCAAAACAACAGCTGGGTCAGAACAATGCCGATGCCACACAAGGTCAGGTCATAACCCTGTTCCTGGCACTACCTACGGGGTCACCTCTGCCCAAGATTGAAGCCAAAACAAAAAAAGGTCAGCCACTCATTCCTATTCTGATTAGACCTTTGACCTGCGCCAGACGGACCATAGAGCTTGTCCCTTGACCTTTCCTCACCCGCCAGGCAACCACGCCCACCAGACGCGTAGACAAGGCTCTCCAACCACGCCTCGACATGACCTTAACTCGATAACATGATCCGGAGTTATCTTGGCAACAATGATCAAATATTTCAGGGTCAAGGAACAATGGAGATCATTTTTTTTTCTTTCGATTAAATCTCGGCTCCTATTGTTCTACGGAAGGAAAGTGGGCTGCGCCTCGTTTTCTATGACGCATCAGGGCCGTTTTCTGTTCGCAGGGGGTGCTTACGTGTGCGCGTAATAAGATAGAGGGAGAGAGGAAGGGAGATAAGGGGGAAAAGAAGGGAAGTGAGGAGAATCAGGGGGTGTTTAGGTGTGCGAGATAATAAGATAGAGAGAGAAAGGAAAGAGATAAGGGGGAAAAAGAAGGAAGTAAGGGAGAATCAGGGGGTGTTACGTGTGCGAGTAGTGTGGATGAGATAAGATAGATAGGAGAGGGAGGGAGATAAGGGAAAAGAAGGAGAAATGGGGAGCAGGAGCGAAGGGAGAGGAGAATAAGGATTAAGGAAGAGAAAGAAAGAGAGACACTTTGGGTCATTTCATCGAGGCTCAATCAGCGCATTTTGGGGTTAACTAACTCTTTACTATCCTGCCCCCCCCAGCCCCACCCCCCCAAAAAAAATGTATTTACTGATCTGGTAAACTGGGTCTTTTATGGCGAGGGTTCACTGTAATAACTAATTTCTATTCTGGACATTTTTTCTTTGATTACTTGTTTTTGCATTAACGGGTTGAGAGAATGAAAGCGATTATGAACATTATTAATTTGCGCTGTGGTAATACTCACTAGCAGAGTAGATAGGTTGATAGACAGGATATAGATAGATAGATATAAGGTAGAATAGGAGAGCGTAGTCGAACTATGTATGTGTAATTGTGTGTGTGTGTGTGTGTTTGTGCGTGTGTGTGTTATGTGTTTGTGTGTGTGTGTGTGTGTGTGTGTGAGAGAGAGAGAGAAAAGAGAGAGGAGAGAGAGAGAGAGAGAGAGAGAGAGAGAGAGAGAGGAGAGAGAGAGGGAGAGAGAGAAAGAGAGAGAGGAGAGAGAGAGAGAGAAGAGAGAAAGATAAGAGAGAGAGAGAGAGAGAGAGAGAGATACAGAAAGGAGAGAGAGAGAAGAGAGATACAAAGCAAGAGAGAAACGACAGAAACAGAGACACAGACACAGCCAAAGAGAGATAGAGAGATAGTAAAAGAAAGAGAGGAAAAATAAGAATGACACAACCCCCCCCCCCTCCTCTTCACCCCCCCCTCCCTCCTCCTTCACTAAGTGGCATTTCTTCAGCGAAAAGAAGTCGACGGTAATTAACTCCCGTCACTTGCCTGCTAATTACTTACTGAGTTTCACGTCAATCAAAACTTTGTTAATTATGATTATGATCATCATTTTCTTTTCTCATCTCTTCTTCGTTGTGCTGTAAAATGCGTAAAAAAAGGACAAGGGTAAAAACAAATGAAAATCGCGAGATAGATTGAAAAAGGTAGATAGATAGACAGACAGACAGATAGATAGGTATATAGATAGAAGAGGAGGGGGAGAGATTTAGAAAAAAGAGAGAGAAGGGGAACCACAAGCCTTAAAAAGAAAAAAAGAATAGATAACGGAACTTAATCAACAGAGAAAGAGTGAGAGAGAGAGAGAGAGAGAGAGAGAGAGAGAGAGAGAGAGAGAGAGAGAGAGAGAGAGAGAGAGAGAGAAGAGAGAGAGAGAGAGAGAGAGAGAGAGAGAGAGAGAGAGGAGAAGAGAAAGAGAAGAGAGAGAGAAAGAAAGAAAGAAAGAAAGAAAGAGAACGAGAGAAAGAGAGAGGACGAGAGTAAAGAGAGAGCCATGACATGACAGCGAAGAGATCAATGTCAGTCTGCTTCCCCGTGTCAAGCTAAAGGTAAAATGCTGTGACATCCTCGGCCGTGTCAGTTGCATTATAATATGAATTTTGTTGCAAAAAAAAAAAACGATACAAAAATTTATATATTTTTTAAATGTAAAGAAATGGGAAATCATGATAGTCTAGGAGGCTATGAAACATAATAAAGATATAGTGATATAAAACGAAAAATAAAGTTAAATATAGTAAGTTAAAATGAAATAAAACAGGACAAATGAAATGAAATAAAATTAAAGAGACGAAAGTATAATAGAATGAAATCAAATATAATGAAATATAATAAAATAAAATATAGCAAATATGATAAGTATGAAATATAATGAATATAATAAAATATAATAAATATGATAAGTATAAAATATAGCAAATATGATAAGTATGAAATATAATGAATATAATAAAATATAATAAATATAATGAAATATGATAAATATAATGAAATATGATAAATATAATGAAATATGATAATATAATGTAAAATAATAAAATATGATACAATAGAATATGAAAAAATAAGATAGACTGAAACGAAATAGAATGAAATGAAATACATAACAGGAAAAAAGGTCACATATGACTAAGGAAAGGTCATACGTATAGCAGAACACATGACACAAAATAACCCAGTTTCTCACTTGACATCCACGCTTTATCATCATCATTTTTGGGGATATATGATTATATTTGGTCTTTTGTAATCATCTTTGGTAATTAATTATTGTCATTTTGGCGTTTTAAGATTATCTTTGGCGATCTATCATTATCTTTGGCGTTTTTTTTTATTACCTTTCACTATTCTTGACTATCTTTGGAGGTTCATTATAATTATCTCTGGCGATTTTTTTCATTATCATTTTTATGATTATATTTCACGATCTATCATTATCTTTGGCGTTTTTTTTTATTATCTTTCGCAATTCTTGACTATCTTTGGAGGTTCATTGCAATTATCTCTGGCGATTTTTTAATTACATTTTATGATTATATTTCGCGATCTATCATTATCTTTGGCGATCTATCATTATCTTTGGCGTTTTTTTTTATTATCTTTCGCAATTCTTGACTATCTTTGGAGGTTCATTATAATTATCTCTGGCGATTTTTTAATTACCCTTTTATGATTATATTTCGCGGTTCATGATTATCTTTGGCGGTTTTTTTAATTACCTTTCGCAATTCTTGACTGTCTTTGGAGGTTCATTATAATTATCTCTGGCGATTTTTTAATTATCCTTTTATGATTATATTTCGGGATTCATAATTATCTTTGGCGATCTATCATTATCTTTGGCGTTTTTTTAATTACCTTTCGTATTCTTGACTATCTTTGGAGATTCATTACAATTATCTTTGGCAATTTTTTAATTATCATTTTATTATCATATTTCGCTATCCATGATTATCTTTGGCGATCTATCATTATCTTTGGCGTTTTTTTAATTATCTTTCGCAATTCTTGACTATCTTTGGATTCATTATAATTATCTCTGGCGATTTTTTTTTAATTATCATTTTATGATTATATTTCGCGATTCATTATCTTTGGCGATCTATTTATCTTGGCGTTTTTTAATTATCTTTCGCAATTCTTGACTATCTTTGGAGGTTCATTATAATTATCTCTGGCGATTTTTTAATTACCCTTTTATGATTATATTTCGCGATTCATAATTATCTTTGGCGATCTATCATTATCTTTGGCGTTTTTTTAATTACCTTTCACTATTCTTGACTATCTTTGGAGGTTCATTATAATTATCTCTGGCGATTTTTTAATTACCCTTTTATGATTATATTTCGCTATTCATGATTATCTTTGGCGATCTATCATTATCTTTGGCGTTTTTTAATTATCTTTCGCAATTCTTGACTATCTTTGGAGGTTCATTATAATTATCTCTGGCGATTTTTTAATTACTATTTTATGATTATATTTCGCGATCCATGATTATCTTTGGCGTTTTTTAATTATCTTTTCGCAATTCTTGACTATCTTTGGAGGTTCATTGCAATTATTATTTTTAATTACCCTGGCGATTTGTAATTACCCTCTGGCGATTTTTTAATTATCATTTTATTATTATATTTCGGGATTCACGATTATCTTTGACGATCCTCTCTAGCTTACCTTTGGGACACCTGGATTCGGCGCCGCGGATTTACCTGAAGAAGAGATATGGAATTAGTACAGGTAATTAATTAGTTCTTAATTATTTAATTAATTGATTAAGGGCACCTGGAATCGGCGCCGCGGATTTACCTGAAGAAGAGATATGGAATTAGTACAGGTAATTAATTAGTTCTTAATTATTTAATTAATTGATTAAGGGACACCTGGATTCGGCGCCGCGGATTTACCTGAAGAAGAGATATGGAATTAGTACAGGTAATTAATTAGTTCTTAATCAATTAATTAATTAATTAATTAATTACTTCTTAATGAGTTTGTGTGTTAAATGTGTATTTTTTTTTTTCATTAATTTATCTATTGGCCCCTTTATCTGTTTATTAAAATGTATGTATATATTAATTTATTTCAATTACTTATTTTTTTCTCATTTAATGTGTTTAGTTTTGGAATATATTTTGTCTACTTATCTGTTTGTGCATCTGTTTATTTATTTTTTTTTTCAAAATCGTTATTATCATTATCATAAACCGAACCACATTTCAAAATAAATAACGACTGAAGCAAAACATATCGAAACTGCGATCCCAAAGTTTTTCTATATTATTCATTTTTTTTTCATTTATTTCTTTATCATCCTAGATATCTCAAACTTTTTATTATTCATTTTTTTTCATTTATTTCTTTATCATCCTAGATATCTCAAACATTTTTAATTATTCATTTTTTTCATTTATTTCTTTATCATCCTAGATATCTCAAACTTTTTTATTATTTATTATTCTTTTTTCATTTATTTCTTTATCATCCTAGATATCTCAAACTTTTTTATTATTCATTTTTTTATTTATTTCTTTATCATCCTAGATATCTCAAACTTTTTTATTGTTCATTTTTTTCATTTATTTCTTTATCATCCTAGATATCTCAAACTTTTTTATTATTCATTTTTTCATTTATTTCTTTATCATCCTAGATATCTCAAATTTTTATTCTTCATTTTTTTCATTTATTTATCATCCT